AGCGCTGCCATCTAGCCATGACATACTCTCTAGCGCTGCATCTTAAAGACTCTGACCCGCATGCAAACCTTAAACCCTTACTTTCCAGTGTTTGTTTTCATAGACAGCTTGAATGTGTTAGTTCGAGCTGTTTATGTGGAGACCTTTTGGCTGATTGACCTCTAAGTCTCTCTGCAGCTTTTCATAATGCCACCTCCTTCTGTGGTGCAGCCATTCAACTACAGGAAGGGCATTCTGCCAAAGGCTATGAGTCCCCGAGCCAGCTGGAAATACAGGAGAATGTCTTCCTATGAGACACAACAAATAATAAGCTTTAATATAAGGGAATACTGCACCCTCTCCATCCCTGGCATTCTCATCATACACTTAAGAATTTCCAGTGCAGTGTTATGACTGCCCTCTTTAGTAAACAATATGATAGAGCTCTGAGCTGTCCACACCGTGCCAGCAGATGGCTACGATCCACAACACAGACCTCCACGGCTTGCCAGGATTCAGCCACGAACCAGACATCAATCAGAGCAACGGCACATTGGAGCTAAAGCAAAACAAGACTTCACGTACACCAAGCAGCTGTGGCACTCGATCAACAATTCTGACATGTTTAAGACTTTGTGAACATTGTCCTCTTTTTTTTTTTTTTTCACCGCTGTCCGTCTTCTGTTAGCAAGATTGTGAGCACTAAAACAGAATAATGCTTGTGCATGGTATTCCTCCAACCAGATGTAAACTCCAAACAAAAGGCGTCGTAACTGGCAGAGGAGTGGTGGGGAGAGGGGTAAAGGTCAGCACAGAGAGTTAAATAAACACGAGGAGGACACGACGGTCTGAGCATGTTTAGGTTAACCAGCAGGTCTTAAGACAATACACTCATGGGTGGAAAACAGTGATTGCAAGATCTTATAGTGACTAAAATCTGTGTGTGGCAAAAGACGCTCAGCTGAAACTTCTTAAAAAGTTCTTTAGAGGTCAACAGAGCTGCAGAGTCTGGTGATATTTAAGTTCATTACTGTGCAAGACCCCAAAAGAAATGTACGTCTTAGGAATACACTGAAGATAGCTGTCTGTAAGTTAATCACAGCATGCATGTCTGGCCCATGCACATTTTTACATCTTAGACAATTTAAGCCAAATCATCTGCTCAGTCTCAGAGCTTTAACCCTGTGCCACTTATTGTTTAACTTAACCTGCAGAATGCAAAGTGCTGCTACATCAGCAGGCACCTCAGACAGATCACCTCTGTCCAAATAGCCACCACATGGCTCACGACGCCCTCGTCACCCACAGAGATGCCACCAAATGGGCCAGGACAGGAAACTGGCCACTGAGCAGCTTCCTCCCTTTGAAGTGTCATTAATCCTCAGTCCCACATTGTTTATGTGAGAGTGAGTTTGTGCTTTTATGTTTGCGAGGACCCATTTAACTGTTAAAGTGCATCCATTAATGCATCCATATGAAAATTAAAAGGTTGGGTTCAATCAGATGTTTCTTTATTAACCCGCAGGCCATAAAAAGCAGGCAACTTAAATGTAAATAAAGACAAACCTGGCAGTTGTGTTCTGCACATGTGCCACTTTTAACTATGAAGTGATGCTGTACACATACCCCACAAATCTCACAACTTCACTGTTAATACCTCCTTGATTTTTCATGGGAGTTAAGCCTTCTTATGCTAGATAATACACGCAAGCAGAAGCTCCAAAGAGGGTCCTGAGGAAACGAGTTCAGAGCTGGCTTAAGGAAAGAGGTACATTCAAATAAGAAGACATAAAAAAGCATTTCAGCTGGGCATGACTTTGTCCATCAATCCTTTAAAGTGTGCTAAAGCAGACACGCCAAGAGTCTTGAGCATTAAAGTTTGTGGGAAAGTGCTTTTATAACCTCTTTCAAGCAGATATATGGGGATTTGACCAAATGCAACCTCTGATATAAGCGCTCCCAAAAGATAGATGTAGTGTACGTTTTCCAGTGTAAACTGAAAAGTATTCAGTGTCATTGAGATCATTTTTTTTCATAAAGAGACCTTTAGAAAATTTTCAGTCTTTTGCAACAATTTTATTGATTTGAGAGGCTTTTTAATATAATTGTTGTTCTTCTGCGTGATATAAATTAGCATAAAGTATCACCTCTAAATTAAAAGAAATTTAAAATAAAGTTAGGCACAGATAGATATAACCACTGTGATGTTACTAGCAGTTTAGTGAAGTCCTGTTGAGGCTCAGTGTTTTGGTCATCGGTGTCTCTGTTTTGATGATCGAAGGATGGCCTTGACTGAAATAAATATCCTACTTTACCATCTTTTTTTACTCTAGTGTGGACAATAATTTACAAAATGAACATCCTGTTGTATTCACAAAGATTATAACTGCTGAGTGAGCCCATAAACTAATCAGGCAAGTTTCTATGGAGCTCACAGAGGAAAGCCTGTTTTCTTATAAAGTGCTATAGAGCCAGACATATTTTTGCTACCACAGCCATTAAACCTTGTTGGCTATTACAAATGATGCAGATTTAACCCAATCATGCATTGGCTTCAGTTTTAAGACGTTTTATCTTTTACCTACAACCTATAGTATAATCTCAATGCTTTCCTATAATCGTTTACTGACCACGCAATGCTTTTAGAGGGTCCCTGACTGCAGCTTCCTCTGTAAAGAACCATTGTTCAAACTAGTGTTAGTGTAAAGCTTTCCACCCATCGTTACACATTTCACTTGTTTTAAAAGCCTGCAGTGACTCTGTCTACCTGAGTTACAACAGTTTTGTTTATTCCCTCATTTGAAATTTATCGAGCATATCGAGAGTCTAAGGAGTTAAACTTCGCCCACAGATCAGCTGATCTCAGTACCAACCAACTTCATGGCTCAGCTTATGCAGCCCTACGCAGCATATCAACAAATCTCACGTCTTCACACTGCCGAGGTTGTTTTAGCCTGCCCACAGCTGTTGCACTCTGCAAGCTGCTTTTCAGCCCACCCCCATGCTGTGTCAGAGTTAATCAGGCTCAGGTCTGCTGTGACTTGTGCAAAATGTAAATAACTACACATGAAACTATAAATCCTTTTATGACAACAGCCTTCGATATAGTAGTTGCATCTGAAGAGTATTTCTATTTCCTCTCATGCAGTAGCTCTTCTAGCTGGATGAGCTTCGCTGAAAATGGGTGGTGACACATCTGGTGCAGCAATCAGGATGCATTAACCTTTGAATAAGAATCAGGAGACTGTTGGCGGGTAGTTCTGGTTGTTGTAGTTAAAATAAAAATGTTAAATGTTAAAATTGTCCTAAATGATGCTTGAGTACATAATAATGCTGTTTTAAATGAACAATGGCTTTTAGAGAACAAAACTTTGGGGGCTCAAATAAAAAATAAATAAATAAAAAAGTATGAGTACGACTGAGGATGAGAGACTCTCTCACTTCCACATAGCTCCACCAAAAATAAAACTCACTTTTTCTCAGTTGAAACCTTACATCTCCTTTTTGAGCCTGGGCGCAACCCTGTTGTCTCAGTCACCCTCTCAGTACGTGATGTTTCACAGCTTTTGCAGGATTATCGCCTTGAGTTAACAGGGTCTTAAATAACTCACTGGCACCAGGAATCGTACTGGGAATTTGCCACCTGCTGCATCGGCCATCCACAGCCACACAGCAGTGGAGAGAGATGGGTGAATGTAGGCCTACTCCTGGGTGCGAGGATGGCGTCAAACAAGGCTGAGGGTCACGCGCCACCTCGCGCACCACGCTCAACAGGAAGTGTGGCTTCCTTGAGTCTTTGCCGTGAGGGCAGAGGTCAGAGAACAGGAATGGTAGATCGTGTTACGGCACCCAGATGTGGCAAACAAAAGCCACAGCTCCAATCTCAAGGTGCTCCAAATGTACTGTGCAAGCTTAGCTCTGCAGAAACTGGAACTTGTATTCTGGAAGTGTCTTTCCTTTATAATACAGATGTTTCTTGATCTCGTTTTAAAAGATATAACCTTCTAAGGCTTTGTTGAGCCCTTTTGCTATTTTTATGGTTCACATTTGCATATTTTCCTATTTTAGAACATCAGTTCAACACTTACCCTGTGAGCTACATAGAAGCTTGACTGGATGAGTTTTGCTCTGTTGAATGTAACGTGTAAAGTGTTTGCCAAAGCCGGCACAGCACAAATGACTGGAGGAGAGGAGACTGCGTATGATTTATACACTCTGGGTGGAGCCTTTTGCACCTCTGTGTTTCAGAGCCTGTTTATGTTCTCAGTAAAATATTTCCAGTGGCTCTCTGCTACACCGTGCTTCCTCACCGGCCTGTCCGCTCCGTCAAGAGTGATGAGCTCGGGAATGAGAAACAGGTGTGCGTGAAATGTGGAGATCACTCCTTTATCTCTCGCTCTCTTTCCCTCTCGCTTGACCTTTCTGAGCGAGTCATGTTGAGCTGCAGAACAAGCAACAAAAACACAGGAGGAGGGAGGATGATAAGAGGGAACGAGCAACAGATCGATCAGCTTTTTAATTTGGTATCAACTGATCATAAACTGTCTACAGCTAAAACAACAAATAAATAAGTGGAACACAAGATGTAAAAAAAAAAAAAAGCAATGTGAATGCACTGAAAAGTACATATTTCTGAAAATGTTTAAACTTAAGACAACAGGTCACATGTATTACATGGTAATTGCATGTATGTGTTAATTAGTCAGATCCATCTACAAGAAAACAATAATGATTAAAGACTAAATCCAATCAAATGCTGGATTACTGGTAACAGTGCGAGTAGCACAACCAATCATCCTGAATAAAACAACTACTCTTAAGAACTAGTAATAAAAGTGAAGTGATTTAACAGTTTGATGAGATCATCTTAGGACAGGGTGGGGGTTCAGCAGATAACACCTCTCCCTGAAAATCTTTCACATTGCCTCGTCATACCTGCCCACCCCCGCCGCTGTGGGGAGGTCGGGACTCCCTCTTTTACTGCCGCTGCCGTGCGTCTGCCCGTCAGTGCGCCAGCAGACCGCGCAGAGCGAACAGCGCAGCGCCACGCCGACCGTGTGTCCGTCACAGAGCTCCACACCTTCACTGGATTTCAAAGACAACAACAGCAACAGTGGATAAACTGAGCGAATGTGGTGAGTGCGGACAGAACTACGGCTTCCACCGCTCGGTTTTTAATAACATTTTTGTACTGACGGTGATTTATGACATGTTGGAAGTTTACCGATCAGGCTGACTCGGACAGGAATCGACCAATCCGCTAAGTGATTATTTTGTACTCTCAGTGAGTTATTTTAGTAAGCGTGCAGTTACGGGTTAAACAGATGGCAAAGAATAAACAGGCTTTAAATAAGTCGGTATCTATTATTGGTTCATTATTATTCCTTAACTAAGAATCCAGAGACTCACCTCCCAGATAGCACTTCTGAGGTATTCTTGGATTAAAATAGGTTAAATATTAATAATCCTTAGTCAACAGGGTGTGTGCTTTCCTTTTTATATTTACTACAGGACTTCTTCAAGTCAAGAATTATGTCTGGAAACTTTATGATGTGTTGTTTGGCTTTTTCTGTAATGGATATCTGATTCTAGGTAGCTGTTTGATAAGACCATAAACATTTTTTTGTAAGTGGCAAGTGCATCCATTGATCATGTGCTCTGTAAGCCCTATATGTGGACGCCCTGGTTTAACTCAACCTTGAAGTCCAGCTGATAATAACTGCAAATACCACTGGCCTGGAGCAGCAGGTCTTTGCTTAGCTTTGATCTGCACTGAATATTTTCATCTGGATGAAATCAGGAAAATTGCCCAAATGAGGATCTGGTTTCCAAGCATCTAATCAGCAAAGACAAATTTTGTAACCCTTATAAGTCAAGGGTTTTTTTTTCTCTTGTAACCAGCCAATCATTTGAGACCACGACTAAAACTATAGGAGCTCATTTTAAAGACTAAGACGGTGCTACTTGAGAACTTTCAAAAGAATAGGAAAAAAAAGTTGGGGAGGAGCATTATGCAATCCACCCACTCTAAAGTGAAAAGACGGTCTCTTCCAAGGAGACAATCACGTGCCCTCAGGGTCACCTCCACCTTGACCCACCTCCACCCTTGCAGCTCCACCTCTCTTCATAAGGGCTCAAGCATCCTGAGTTGGTTTGATCAGCGTGGGGTCAGGAGCATAAACAACTTAACAGTCAGACTAAACAGACCACACATGTCTTGTAAACACATTCGGATTCATAGGTGAGCATGTGCCGGTTAGGCCTGCGATAAGTGGCTGGAGGTTTGATTCGTGCTTTTTGATGCAGCTCACGAAGTGGCTCAAATGTTGCTCTCGCTCGTACCTTCTCACAAACACGCTCAGAGCTTTTCGTGGCCATAATGCTGCTGCTGAGCACACTGTGAGTTTTCCTCAGCAGATGTGCTAGCCCTCCTCTCTAACTACTTTAAGGATGTTAGTGAAGATTTAAATATGAGACAAATTTTCCACACAGTCTTTGGTGAATCACTTTCCAGGCCTTCTATTCAATAGGTAGATTTAGCTCCGTCTCCTCCCTACCTTTCACTACCTTACACTTTTGTTTGAATCCCCGAATTCCGTGCTGAACCATGCTGAACCGTGCCCAACGGCTACGGTGATTCATAGGTCTTAAACGCTTACTGACGACATCAATCATTCAAACTGCATACACACGATTCAGTGCGCAGCGCAAACATCTCTCTGACTGAATACCTGCTTGCAAAATTACAGTGCAGAGGCGGTCGTAAACAGTCGCAGTTTTGTGCCTGGATTCATGTGGCAGTGTGCTAATTTTCCAGCAGTAATACAGCTGCATCTGTGTTTGATGCTGATCCCAACAGAGCAGACAAGAATACATCCTCCAGTTACAAAGCGGAAAGAGAGCCCAGGGGCGCTGAGCTGCTCACTGCAGTCTCCGTCTGAGGTGTTGACAGGAGCCCTGACATCATTAACATGACTAAATAAAATGTGATTTGGGTCTTTGCCTTCCCGCTTGGCTCGTAGCACCAGCAGGGATATTTATGATGATGGTGTTATTGATGCAATGCTTAAAGGAGCATGCAGACTCATGTTCACTTTCTGACTTTTGAGAGTTTGGTTTGACGTAATGTGCATGTTCACAATATGAGCATTTAAACAGGAGCTGAGATCTAGCATCTCTCTGCAGCATGGGTGAAAAAGTTGAGCCTATATCACAGGACAGCTAGATTCCTCATCTTTAAGTCTTTTATTTTACAACTTTCTCCGTGTTTTGTTTTTAATGAACAGAGTTTTTTTGTCGAGGCTGCACAAGTGCATAATCTGATTGAGTTTTGACCACATTATAGCTGAATGCAGAGAACAAGCAGAAGCCGCAGGATTTTTCATGGTTTTAGTTCACAATGGGCCACTCATGTGTTTCTTATCAAAATTCAAGGCTCGGTTTTGCTTTCCTGCAGAGCAGGGCTTGAAAACGCAGCCTTTTAAGAGGCCATGTCAAACATTTGTTTTCTTTAAACCCTGTTTTGTTGCATGTAAAGACCCCCGAGTTACGGCGTGAAGCTTGAGTTTCTAATTAGAGGGGAAAATGTGCCCTGCTAATGACATCATCTTCCCCCTGGCACTGCGTTAAGTGACTGTGTGTGTGTGTGTGTGTGTTGTTTAACAGCAGCTGGTTTTAGACATTTGACGTTTACAACTGTGTGAGACTTCAAACACTCTCACACAAACCGTCGGGCTTATAATTTAGCTTTTATTGCTCCTTGTCGCCTTGTTTGGGCCGTTGTGGCAAAAGTCTCTGGGAACAGTTTTCAGGAGGAACTGCGTGTAAGAGAGGAAGAGCTTGTCGATAAACTCAGCTTCTAAGTTACATCCAGAGACAAAACAAACCTTTTCAAACAGGCATGAAGTTGGCTGAAAGGAGAAGTGAAACCTACCATCTATGTAGCGAGCTTCTTCTCTTTTGCAAACTAGTGTGGAATCATATTCGCAGAAGTATCAAATTGATGTATTTTTCAGGCTTTTTTGAGTCTTTGCACTTAATTTTTTGACATAATGATTATTATAATCAGTCTTGCCACTCTCAGAGACCTGAGAGCATTACATCACTTCCATCTCCACGGGCTTCCGAACTCAATTTATAATTCATTGTGAGCAACGAAATCATGAAACATGATCTGACAGATCTCCATCTCCTGACGGTCCCCTGTGTGTGCGTGGGTGACAGCTGTGAGAGCGGCCCTTCTCCCCGCTGCTCTCACATCCCTGTAATTGTTCACAGTCCGACTGGGCGCCTCTGTAGCTCTGCCACATCCCATCACACTCAGCCGTGCCACGCTGTGTCCGCTCGACCGTGAGGAAGACGACACGAGTCTGGACATTCCCACTGACAGAGGAGGAGGCCGCCAATACAACTGCACGGACTCTTCCAGATGTTTTCTGATTCTGACAGAAGCGAGGGAGGAGAGGAGGGAAGAGGGACAAATCGAAGGCTGTCTTTCCGTGGCACTCGGGGTGCTGTTAGTCGGGAAGCAGGTCGGTTGATCGGTAATGAGAGAAGACAGCTGGCAGGTTCAGCAAAGGTTAACAACTAAGTATAGATGGCAGAGAGGACAAACAGAAGAGCTTAGTGTAAGGTCTTTGTGTGGGAGGCTGTGGGTGATTCTTGCAGTTTTTAAGGAGGAGTTACCTCATTTTAGTGAGTTTGAAATAGATGAGTGTTGGACTCTGATCTGTGGCATCTCACACTGAATATTTCAAACTTATCTGTCCTTTTCGTGGTTTCTTGGGATTGGACGTGCATGTTTTTAGCACGTGACGTTTCTTTTAATGGCCTAGTTTCTCTCTGGGTTTCAGTAGACATCACAAAGCTATAAAAAGATCTCTTTTTTAAAAGTTTTTGTGGCAGTCAGGATTTAGCTTTTGCAGTATTTCTAGATTTAGGGGGTATTTTGCTTACGTTTCGAGCTGTGTCGGTCAGATTAAATCAAACTGCACCCACACATTCCTGATACAGCCGTCTTGCTGCATTCGCTTTTTGACTGCTTACCCCTAAATAATTAATGATCACTGTTAAACACTGAATATGGGGGATTTTAAACCAGGGATTTTCCTGGATTAAGGCTGAATTGGATGAGCAACCTTCAAGTATCCAATCACCAGAAGTGTTTGAGAAAGTTTACATTATAAGAAGCGGCATGCAGAGCGTTTTATTTCATCTGGAGTTGCAAACTTTTGCGCCCCGCCGTGTTGATTGCAAATCAATGCTGACACATTTAAAGTGGTGGAGAATGTGTGGGGATGCAGGAGGAGGAAGTAGATGGGCTCGGGGACACCATAGTTACAGATGACCCAGTGTTTGGGGACAAGGCACAGCTGGAGATGCTTTAAGCCTTAACCGACCCCAAACAGTCCTGTCACAAGTACTCACAAGTTAGTGCTAACCTTTTACCGCTAACATCAGCAACATGTGCTTAGAATAATTCTGCAAGGGTTTCGTGAGTGTCCTTTTAGCAACCCTGTGTGTGAAAAGAGGGTGGGGTTACACAGATGCTACTCTGGCTGTCTTTCCTTTTACTTTAACTTGGAGTTCTGGATTGAGTTGCTGTTCGCTCATATGTGCCCCCTGTGCTCTCACACGGCTTTAATCAATTCTTGTGCGCTCTTACTCATCTAGCTGTCAGTAAACTCTTTTAGTCAGTCATCGTGGAGAGTATATTTCTGCACTGTTTCAGTCAGCAAAAAGGCAGGTAAACCACTGTTTGATGTAACACCGTTTTTGACTTTTTAGTTGCTGCTAAAGCCTCTTTTGTCGCTTTGGTGAAGCCGACGTATGCCTGGCAGAGGGAAAAATGTGCCGACTTTGTGAAATAAAACATCTGGCAGTTGGCCAGACAAAGCTGTCTCTCAGAGCATTCACACCAGCTGAGAGCTTAATGAGGGTTCACAGTGTGAGAACAGTGCTTCATAATTTAAGACTCTGGGAGATTGAGGGACATGTCCAGATTTATGCCTCTCTACTGTACTGTATAAACAGCCTCCGGGCAGGCTTTTATTTGAGGGGGGAGGGCTTTGTTACCCTGAGTTGCACAGTGCATTCCCAGTCCGGGGATGTGCCGCACACACACTCGCACACACAC